CGCCCCGGGCGCGCCTCCCCCGGGGCAGGGGTGGGCGGGGGCGCCGAGCCGGCGGCGGGATGGTGCCGACCGCCTTTCCCCCTTGTCCCCCGCTCCGCAGGTGACTTCTCGGCGCCGGCCCTGAGCGCCGAGGCAGCCGACTACCTGTGCCTGGCCGGCCAGCCCTCCCCGGCCCTGAGCTACACCGGCAGCTTCTTCATCAAGACGGTGCCCGAGCACCCCCACGACCAGGAGTCCCTCTTCAACCTGATGTCGGGCATCCTGGGCCTCTCGCCCTTCGCCGAAGGCCCGCAGAGACCCCTGGACTCCCTGTACGCCGGCCCCGAGGCCGGTCCCAACCAGCTGGACCTCTACGGCAACTGCCAGCCCGAGCTGAACGTCTCGGTGCAGGCGCCCTTTGCGGAGCAGGGCTACGCCGCCTTCGAGCCAGCCCACCAGCTGCAGAGGCCTCCCAGCGCGGGCGGCTCCTCCCAGTGCCTCTTCGAGGCCAAACTCATGGAGAACAAGCCCGACATCAAGATGCCCCCCGGCTCCCCTCCTCTGGACAAGTTCAAGGCATGCTCGCAGTGGGAGCCCGTGGCGCAACACCAGGCCTACCTGCCCGCCACGTACCAGTCCTCGGAGGCCTTCCACCCCGGCGACAGCGGCCAGGCCTTGTTCCACCCACTGGGGTCCAAGATCGAGGACGCGCTGGCGGCGAGCTGCCAGTCCGAGCTCGGCAGCCTGTCGGAAGAGCCCTACGGCACGAATTTGGGGTTCGGGTGCGAGCCGGGCTTCCCGCCTCTCGGTGCCGCGGGGCAGATGCCCCCGGACTTCGGCGACACGAAGCTGCACGGCTTCGCTCCCCAGCTGCTGCAGGAGTTCGAGTCCTCCTTGGCACAGGCAGAGGTCATCCCCGGGCTGATGAACCCCGGCGAGCTGCTCCACGCCTCCCCGGCCGGCCCTCCCGCGGACTTCCTGCCCCACGCGCCCGCCTCGTCGGTGGCCGCGCTGCTCGCCGCCCACCCCGCCCTGCCGCCGGAGCCGAAGAGGAAGCCGCGGCGGAGCAAATGCTCCTCCAAGTGCTTCTGCCCCAAGCCCCACGAGAAGGCCTTCGCCTGCCCGGTGGAGAACTGCGTGCGGAGCTTCGCCCGCTCCGACGAGCTCAACCGGCACCTCCGCATCCACACGGGCCACAAGCCCTTCCAGTGCCGCATCTGCCTGAGGAACTTCAGCCGCAGCGACCACCTCACCACCCACATCCGCACGCACACGGGCGAGAAGCCGTTCTCCTGCGACGTCTGCGGCCGCCGCTTCGCCCGCAGCGACGAGAAGAAGAGGCACAGCAAGGTCCACCTGAAGCAGAAGGCCCGGACCGAGGAGAAACTCAAGGGCTTGGGCTTCTACTCCGTGGGCCTGTCGTTTGGGACCCTCTGAAGCCCGGCGCCGTATACCAGGTGACACTTTCTTTTTCTGGGCGCGAGCCCCCTTTGGCGCCTCGAGGAAGCCCTGGGGTTGCAGGGCCCACCCCTGCGGCAGTGGAAGATGCGTGGCGGCTGGGGCCTGCCCGGTCCGCGGGTGCTGCCGAGGAGAGGAGAAGAGGCTGTACATAAATGCACGTGTTGGCATGGGGTTGATTTGCTCCCATGTGGGCGCTCCCCGCTGCACCGACACAGGAGGCCAAGATCTCATCGGGGAAGGAGAAAGCCAAGGGGAGAGGAACACGGCACGGAGGGGCCAGACAGGTGGCGGGTGCAGAGCGCTGTACATACAGGATCCCACCTGCTTTATCAACCCTTCCTGGGGGGGCTCCGGCTGCATTTCTGGCATCGGCCGGAGCCTGTTCCCTTCGCCGGGCACTTTAAAAAGGACTTCCAAGCAGCTCCGTTTTAAGACGCTGTCTCTCGGGCCTCGTCCCGGAGCTGCCCTGGGAAGGAGAGCCGGGGACTATTTTACAAGCAAAATGGCTGGGCTCAGCACGATGAGCTGACATGTTAATAATTGAAGGCAACTGCCATTGTGAGCTGGCAGAGGCTTTCCACAGCCCTGGATCTTGGGGAGGGGCGACTGTATGGTAACTATTATTTTTCTCTTTGTAAAAAACAAAAAAAAAAGAAAGAAAAAAGGGAAAAACCCAGAATCTCTGAGGAATCTTTCAAAGTGGGTTTATTTTTCCAATTAAAGGTTTGTTCTATTCTAGAAATCTCTGCTGTGGTTTCTTTCTCTCCCCCCCTCCCCTTCAGAGCCCATTATAATGGAGCAGTGCCCGTAAGATTGATATAGCACTTGTGAACGCCGGCTCCCACACGCCTTCACAGCCGGGGCTAAATATTCTACGGAGAAGGTTGCTGACTCACAGAGGGACAGATTCTGATCATCTTAAGCCTCTCGGGTGGAGCTGCCCGACTCGAATGCAAAGGGCTTGGCGTAAGTCTATCAGAATTTGCCCCCCTGAGAGGTTAAGGGACTTGACAAAGGTCACACACACACACCCCATCAGTGGCAGGGCCGGGGGGGAACTGACTCGTTGTCCTGCCACCATTGGTGCTGGCTCAGAAGCAAAGGCCTGACCGCTAGCCCAGCTGGCTGGTTTTCAAGGAGGTTGACGATGGTCCTGCTCGAATTGCGTGACGAGGGGTCCGGGACGATCCTGGTCGGGCAGCGCAAAGCACGGGCACGTAAGGATTGCTTGGCCGTTGCTTGCAGTGTTGCACAAGCAAAGAGGGGATGCTCAGTTCCCTCCTACAGTCTGATCCGAGGACCAAGGAAGTCAAGTGTGGGGGGCTTTGCTAGGCCCTGGGCCCCTGCAAGAGTCCAGAGCCTTGCACCATTTTTCCTGCAGAGCTCCAGCATCTCCTGCTTAAAGCAGCAGACATCCTGGGCTCCCCCCTCCTTACCTCTCCGGTGGCCGATGCCCAGAGAGGTGCTGGCAGTACTGGCATCAACAGAGCATCATTGCTCTTGCAAGAGAGGAGGAACCAGAGCAAATGCACTGGGAAGGGGAGAGGAAGTAGCAAGGATGCCCTGAATCAATGCCCAGCCAGAGAAAAGGGGGCCAATGCAGCTCCTCCGTCACCTCGGGGAATCCCAGAGACAGACTCCAATTCCCCAGCTGGACGGAGGGGTTGGACCGAGCCCCCCCGCAATCCCCACCATGGGGTCCTCTGTGCACGAGTGCCCCAGGGCCCCGGCGCTATGCCTGCAGGTAGCACCTCACCTGGGGAGGAGATGCAGAATGGGCTGGGCCCTGGTAGTGCCATAGGAGGCCCTTTCCCCCATGGTTCCCAGTCCAGCCGTCTCATGGCTGCCGGGGGGGGCTTATAAAATAAGCCATGCCCTGCGAGGTAGGACAGAGCTCACGCCCTCCCTCCCTGTACAAACTGAGGCACCAAGAGGTTAAGTGACTCCCCCAGGGAGCCCGTGCTGGAGCACAGCACAGCTCGAAAGGGGCCTTGGTCCCTGGGGCCGTGCTGCATCTCACTCCATGGGGCCTCCACCCCGGGACTTGGTCCCAGTGACCAAATGGGCCTCGAGCCGTGGCTGATGGAAGCGCTCTCGAGTGCCATAGGAAGCAAGAGGGGAGTGGGGCCCCGGCCTCCAGACGCAGGAAACTGCTTCAAAACCCCAGCTGCCCTGTAAAACCCTGTACTTTCTCGCATACGATGCCCCCCCAAATATGGCACACCCCTTGCTTTGGGGAAGGGAAAAGGTCTTTCTTTGTACTAAGTCACTGAGCAGCAGCCGGCAGGGAGCTGAGCCTGCTCATTGCTCTGCTCCTGGGCAGATTTTACATTCACTTTCGCCCAC